GTCATTTAAGGGATTTGTCCTGATATAATAAAGGTCTGCGTGGAGTGTATCAGCTGTAATATTGCTGGTAACAGAGCTGTGTGTTGGCTAGTCGCAGCTCCTGTGTGACAGCTCAGCAGGCCCTAGGCCTTGGGGGCGCGCACACCCAGAAGAATCAATCAAGCAACAGAGCTGGTTTACACTGTTAACCCCTGTAGCACTCTTGCGCAATGGGTTGTTCGGTGGCCCATTTTTTGGAAGGCAGTACTGTGGCATAGAGACAAGAGGAAGCGAGGCGACTCCAGCCAGCACGCCGAGCCAGTGCTCCTGATTGCTGCGCTGTAAGTGTGTAAGTACTGAATGTGTCCCTGTGAGTGTTAGGGTGCACCTCTAAATGGGGTGCTGCTTTGTGAAAGCACCATCAAAGTGTGATGTTTGCAGAACGTAGACACAAAGAGGTGTCTTGGTGTATGTAAGTGAAAGAGTAGATTGAAGCCCAGGGTGTATTTTGTTTAAGAATACATGCCAAATGGTGAAGTGCACAGATGGATTTGGATTTTATACTACGCAGTTCGTGTGAATGGATTTGGGGATTGCGTATAAAGGAAAATTTCTAAATGCAGAAAATTTTTTTAAAAGTTTGATTCCTTACATTTTAGAAGTGTAAATTGAATAAAGAAAAATATCAATGACTCCCACTCCATCCACCTTACAATAATTAGCGTTGCTGTGTTTTCTTTACCTCATATGTAATATTTTAAATATGTTATTAATCCTAGTTAGTGGATATATTAGGCAATTGACGTAATCTCTTTGTGCCTTAGTTTTCTTTGGAAAAATGAAGATTATTATAGTACCTGTTTTCTGATGGGAAAGGATTAATGAATTAGCACATAGTGTATAAAGTGATCTAAGTGCTTGACACATAGTTGAGAGCTCTGTGAATGCCAGTAATTATAGCCGTGGGGTCATCGCCCCCGCTTCAGAGTCCTTGGGGTCTAGTAGTTTGAGAATTAAATTTCTTGTAGCTGGGTGTAGTGTACACCTATAATCCTGGCACTGGCACTCTTGAGAGGCTGAAGCAGGAAGAGCCCACTTGGTGACCAGTGAGACCCTGTCTCAGAGAAGAAGCGAAGAATGGGCCAGGCCTACCGCGGTACCCTTCTTCGGTGGTTCTTCTGTTTACAGGAGAATGCATGAACTGTTAGGCTAGAGGGACAGACTGTCAGTGGCTTCATGTCGGTACACATAAGGTTTTACTACCAAATGAATGATTTTGAGGAGCAGAGGTGTTTTGTTTTTTTTTTTCTCTCGTTTAGTTTTTAGAATTGCAGGTAAATGTGTGGAACATTTAATCGAGCTTGAGTCCCACTTTATTTTCATATTAAAACATGTTTTATGTTATTATGTATCTTTGTAGTGCATGGTAGATTTAAAAACTTAAAATAATGGAAATGCCCACTTCTGCCTCTTCTGATAAAAAAAGTTAAACCCACTGTTCAGTGATTCTGTTGTTTAAAAACATGCTAAGCCCAGGGGCACTGCGATTCTGTTCCGTAACGCCTTTTCCTCTAGGAAAAGCTTGAGAGTTCCTCTAACCCAGTTAAGGAACTTGTGTCCCACACTTGGCCTTGGAGGCTAGCTACTCCCCTCCTGGGTTAACTGCAGCAGGACTCCTCCAAGGAGGGGGTGGGGCCGGCGGGACCCTCTTTGCACTTTTCCGTCCTGTGTTTTTCTGTGGTGGTCCTTAGCACTGTGCTTATTCCCTCCAGGCTGTGGGGCTATTTCCAGGGCTAGGTCTGTGCACCAGGTTCCAATTACACCAAAGCTTTGGCATGTGCAGCCCCTTCTGGCTGTGACCTTGTGTCTGTTACTCGGTGTCTGTCCACTGACCCAGCGTCCAGGCAGAGCAAACAGATTGCTGAGCTGACTGGGGAGGGGCAGGGGGAAAGGGGAAGGGTGTGAGGGAGGGGTCGAGCTCATAGGAGTGGGGTGGCTGCTCTTAGGGAAGAGAGGGACAGCTGGCAGACTGCCCCCCAGCAGTGACAGAGCAGAAAGGGAGAGTGGAGAGTGGGAGAGAAATGGTTCTGCTGTGGAGAGCGCTTGGGCCAAGTAAGAGGAAAAGCAAGGTAAAAAGGAACTCCTGGAGAGAGCAGGGCAGGCCACCATAAGGAGAGCCACGCCAGCCTACTATGCTCCTCTCACCTTACGTGGTTGTGCCTAAAGTGCTTGTGTAGCTGCCTCTTCGCAGAATCCAACTCTAACCTCACCTTAATCTTGGCCTTTTTATCTTTTGGAGCTGTGAGAAGTATGTGTTGTTGTTTATGAGCCATCTACTTTGTTTTATTTTTTGAGATGGGCTCCTTTTGTAGCCCAGACTGGCCTTGAACTTGTGGCAGTCCTGGTGCCTCAGTTTTCCAAGTGCTGAGCTTACAGATGTGCACCAGTATGCCTGGCATAAGACACCTGGTTTATGGTATTTTCTTTATGTAGCTCAGTGGATTGAGATGTTTAGCCTGTCCTTCTGTGGAGCCTGAACTTTGACATTGGCCACGTCTTTCCTCTTGCTGGGCTCTTGTTGTCAAACCTTCCATTGATTTTCTTTTTCAGGAGTCGTAGCATGTGTAATAATTATGCTGTCTTGGCTATACAGGTTCATTCTGAACGGTCCCGAATGGCCTGCTCCTTCGTGGTGATTGTCTTATTAATATAGTACTTTTCGAATGTCTTAGGATTTTTTAGGTGCTGTTGACTTCTGCTTACTGAAGAAATACAGGATATAAGCTTACACATTTTTGTTTTTCCATTTTTACCATAACAAACCTCAGTTCTTTTTTTTTTTTTTAATTTTATTTATTTATTTTAAATTTTATTTATTTATTTGTGTGTGTGTGTGGCCAGCTCAGCCCACCAGGGGGCGGGCTGGCTGGCATGTGGTGCTGGGGGATTGAACCG